TTGGAAACAATGCACCAGAGAAAATCAAAATTATAATCCAAAGACAATTTGAGTTTCATCAAAGTTTAGAGTGTTATGGAATGTAATTCTGCGTTGTCCTGTTGAATAATTGTGATATTGAATTAAAAGTGGCAAATAGGAGGATTTGTACTTTGAATTTTTCATTACTTCCTCACTTTCTTTTTTTGTCCCTGGTTGGGGATATTCAGGAAAACAACAATCATTGCAAATGATCAAGCAGGAACGGTGACAGTTGGAAATCAGTGGGGACCAAAATAAAATAATATGAAGTTAAGAAAAACTATTTCAGAAAACTATTTCTGGTCCTCCTATCTAAACACAGAGAAATGAGAAAGAGAACTGCTCTGGGATACAAAAACACACCAAAATAATCAAGGTTGCATCCATGGTGTAGAACTGAGACCTGAGGCAGCCAGTATTTATACAGAAGCATGGAACATTATTCAATCAAAGGCCTCATGATTTGAGAAACTTGTCACATGCAAATCAATGTGTAGCATGTGGAAAGAGCTGAAAGGATGAGGAATTCCTTTCTCACAAAAGGAGCCAGAGTGACAATTTTCCAAACGAGGTTTTTAAAAAGAAAGGTTTTCTGCAGCTTTGAGTTTTGGTTTTGAAAAACAATTTTCAAAATTTCGTCCTGCTGTGTGATTTCGTATCTCTCACAGTTTTCTTTAGCTTACCTCTCCAAAGACAGAGGAGTCACTTCAGATATATCTCCTCCTCCTTCCTACAGCCTGTTGGAAGAAATATCCATCTGGTTCAGTTCCAAGTGAGGAGAAACACATTGGAAACATGGAGGCTGATTGGAAAGGTGGTTTAATGATGAAGCAGAACCCTCAAGCACCTGGGCCTGGTGCATCTGACCACATGAGTGGAGAGTGAGGGTTATTTATACCTTCTCTTGGGCCTTGCCCTTGAGCTTCCTGTTCCTGCAACTACATTGTTGTGATTAGATAAAACAATTATGAGCAGTCCACTCCTGTAAGTCTGGGAGAAACCCTTAACTGGGAATCATTGTCAGTCCACCTCTGTTTAAATCAATGATGGAATTTCTAGAAGCCCAAAAGTCTTGATCTTGCAGAGATTCACTCATTTTGTCCTGGAGATATGAAAAATATCTAGATATCATTAGTACACCAGGTTCTGCGCAGATCACCTGTGATGATGTCTAACTCAGTGGGCGGAGCCTCTCGCCGCTTTTACTACCGATTCTTGTGAACCGGTCTGAACTGGGGGCAACCCACCACTGGTATGCACGCCCCCTCTACTAACCACTTAATTATGATGTAATCTTGAAAGAGTTTCCCACTGTCCTCTTTTATGGGATGGAGAATCAAGAGAAGAGGATTATTATAAGTCTCTTGAGTACAAAGAATAACTACAATCCAATTCCTACCTGTTCCTTTGCTCCCTCTCTTCCCTTTACGCACGGAGGTGGCTTTCTATAGAAGCTTTCTTAAAAATGAAAGGTTGCAGATGAGTCTAACTTTGTCAAACGCGGTTGGATTGACAAGGTTTCCTGACAACCTCTGTCCTTCTAACCTCCCATGGGAACGGCACCCTTTCTCCCTTCTTTGCATGAGCACCTGCCTTGCACACAGAATCCACCAGGGGGCTCCCTTCGCAAAGAGAAGGCAACATTAGGCACTTCACTACCGGGCCGCTGGAGGGAGAATGCTACAGGTGGCTTTCCAGAAGAGGGTGAGAAGTCAGTGACGGGGGGGGGGTCTCTTCCTATGCAGAGGGCTTTCTAGAGAGGCTTTGGAGGCTGGGGACAGCAAAAAACATCACTTCCTGTCCAACTGGGATTTGGGAAATGGGCTGTTTCAGGCCTCCGGAGCGCCTCTGAGGGGCTGGGGAAGGCTGTTTTCGCCCTCCCCAGATGCATAGAGAGGATCTGGAGCCAGGTGAGAAAGAAAAACGGGCCTACTGGGCCATCACATGCCTTCTTTAGCCTAATCTTACAATTCCTCCCTCCCCCCTTCTCATTCCTTAATATATTCACAGTTTATCAGAGGATGCTAAATTTCTCTGCCCTTACAAAGTTTGAAATGATGCAGCAGGGAGGTTCTGGAGTTTGAATCGATATGATAATCAAAGGGAATTCAAGTTCCATCAACGCTCACAGTGTGAGGTAGAATTTTATATTGAATCGTCCTACTGTATAATAGTAATGTTATATTAAAAGTAGCAAGTGAATTTGTGCTTTAAATTTTTCCTCTCTCTCCCCCTCTACCTCTCCTCCCTCTTTCCCTCCCTCCCTCTCTATTTTGTACAAAGTTAGGGATAGAAAGAAGAAAAAGAATGAAAGTGATAAGAATGAAAGTGACTCCAAGGTGCTAACGTTAGAAACGATCAAGCAAGAAGGAAGACTTTTGGGAATCAGTGGGGATCTACATAAAATAACATGACATTTACTTCAGAAAAGTACTTCAGTTTTTTCTGACCAAACAAACAAAAATGGAACATGGAATTGCCTCTGGGATGTGAACATAGTAAAAATAATCAGACTTATATCCACGGTGTAGAACTGAGACCTGAGTGAACCTGTATGAAGGTTCAGTCAAAGTTCTCATAAGGGAATTGTCATAGGCAGATGAATGTACAGTGTGTGGGAACAGCTGAAAGGATGAAGAATTCCTGTTTTTAAGAAGAGATTGGACAACCATTTGTCTGAAGGGGTATAAGGTTTCCTGCCTGAGCAGGGGGTTGGACTAGAAGACCTCCAAGGTCCCTTCCAACTCTGTTATTCTGTTATCTTATGTCAACAAAAGGAGCCAGAATGACGAGAAGCCTCCAAAATGCACATGCCAAAGACTTTCAGATATTAGGGCCATATTTTGCTTTGTATGATGTGATGAGGCTAAGAAAAAAAAATATTTTTAATTAAGTAAAACTAAACATCAATGTGTGGTTACCTTTCTGACATTATTATTTTTTCTTCATCTTCAATTGCATTTAAACTTAGTAATACATGAAAAAAATTGGTAGGATTTGGGTGGGAGAGTATGTTTCAGGTTTCAGAGATTCATGCTGGTTTGAAGCTGTTGACAGGTAGTCCTCACTCAATGACCATTCATTCAGCGACCTCTTGGACTTGCAACAGAACTGAACAAAGGGACTTATGACCAGTGTCCAAAGTTAGGGCCTTGCAGTGCCCTCATAGTCACATGACTGTGATCTCCGCTATTAGCATCTGATTTCTACTTATGACGAATCCCCCCCCACACACACACACACCTCCCATCATGTGCAAAAATCTCTTCTGGCTTCCTCAGAAAATAAATACGAAAGCCAGCAGGGAAGGGGACAAACCTCTGCCACAGAATTCAATGGGAGAGGTGCTGAAAAAGGTCTGTGGATCTATTTTGGGACAGACCTTTTCCAGCCAACCTCTTTGAGAACAAAAGGGCTGCCTGTCAGTTTGATTTTGCCCTGCCTGGTAAAATATCCTTCTGGGTTCTGCTCCAAGTGGGGAAAAAGACACTGGAAACATGGAGACTGCTTGGAAAGATGGTTTAATGGTGGACAGGATCACATGGTTTGAGTTCCTGAACAGAAAAAAGGGATGAGATACAGCGAGTCCCCGGGTTTTATGCTTTCTCTAGCTTTGAATTTCCTGGGGCCCAGAAAGAGTATCCTGATTGGTTGTCAGACTCCCAGGGGGTGGGGGTTTTAGGTAGCCTTGCTGGATGATGTAATCTTCCCAGGTGCCATGTGGTGAATTTCTGTTGGTAGATGGGTCCTATTGTGTTGCAGATGATGGCCCATTGAAAAAGGGTGGGGGGTGGGGCAAGAAGGTGAGCTGCTTAGTCTTTAAAACATGCTTCTCCATTTCTCATCCAAGGAAACATAATATTCTGCCTTTTTAATATTTCCTAAAATATTTCATTCTTCTAGGAAAGGGGTGAGTGCTAACTTCCTACAAGACAAAGAGAAAATTATAAATCAACTTGTGGGTCATTAGGAGTCCTTGGTGCTCTATGAGCTTCCTTGTTTTCTTGCAAACGTTTCATTACCCTAACTAGGTAACATCATCAGTGCTAGTAAAGAGTGCTGTTTGCTGTCACAGAGGAGACCAACCTATTTTCCAAAGGACCAATGGTAGGCTAAGAAATAATAGATGAAAATTCATCAAAGAGATATCCAGCCTAGAACCAAGGAGAAATTCCCTGACAGAACAATTAACTAGTGGAACAGCTGGTCTCCAGAGGTTTTGGATGCTCTATCACTGCAGTTTTTCAAGAAGATATTGGACAGGCATTTATCTGAGATGGTACAGGGTTTCCTGCTCGAGCTACAAAACATGCAAGGTCCCTTCCAACTGTGTTACTTACTCTATTCTATATTTTAAAACTTTTAAGTAAGAAGAAGGCTGAATCCTATTTCTTCTATATCCCTTCGTTCCAGAGGTGAAATCCAGCAGGTTCTGACAGATTCTGGAGAACCGGTAGCGGAAATTTTGAGTAGTTCAGAGAAGCGGCAATTGCCACCTCTGGCTGGCCTCATAATGGGATGGGAATGGAGATTTTGCAATATCCTTCCCCCAGGAGAGGGAATGGGGATTTTGCACTATCTTTCCCAAGCCACGTCCACCAAGCCACACCACACCCACAGAACCGGTAGTAAAAAAAATTGGATTTCACCACTGCTTCGTTCCCTATATAAAAGGATGTAGCTTTCTACTGAACCCTACTTAAAAGTAAAAGGGTGCACATCGGTGGAACACTGTCAGAAGGAATTGGATAAAGAAGGGTTATTGATCAGAGGAAAGCATCCTCCTTCTTTAGGGGTCCTGATGGAAAATGCACCATTTCCACTATTTACATAAGCACCTTCCCTGCACACCAGAATCCGCCAGGTGAGTCTCTCTAAAAAGAGAAGCAGACGCCGTGCGATTCATCATTCCGCCACTGGAGGGCGAAGGTCAGAGGAGATTTGCCATAGGAGAATGGGAGGGAAGTGAGCTCACTGGATCTGACGCCACACTCCGTCTCTATTTAACCCTTTGAGCTTCGCAGGAGGTTTAAATGGGTGCCAGAAAGCCTTGAAGGGAGAAGAACTAGAGGCGGGAAGAGTAAGTGGCTGGTATGAGTGTGAGAAGTGTCTCCGCGTGCAAAGAGGGGGGAGGGGGGTTGCAGTGGGTGCTCGTGCTAGAGAAGGAAGGGGCAGAAGCCAAGTCCCCATGCAGGTTCAATCTCCTGAGTCCTGCGGGTGGGAGAGCCCGGATCCCATGTTCCCCTGCCGCCCCTCTCCACGCAGGTGGCAGGCAGAGGGAAGCGGTGCTCAGGACGAGCCGCGTTGCCCCAGGAACAAATCCCCAGAGAGGAGGGAGGGTCCTGGGGAATCCTTCACCCCCCATAGCCTGGAGAAAGTTCCGAGGTCGGAGATGGGGAGAGCTTGGAGGGCAAATCTGGAGCAGGAAAGAAGAACATGGTTGCAAGGGAGGAACTGGAGGAGATTGTGCCCGCCTTCTCCTTCTGTGCTGGAGGAGACTAAAGTAGGGTTGGATCCTCCGGAGTTCAATTTCTCTTAGGAGGGTGAGTGAACGAGGACATCCCCAACCTCGGTGTCTCATGTGAACTCACCTTCTGGGGTTGCCTAGCCTGTTTGGGTTTACATATTTTTGTGAACCTACCTGCAGGTTCACCAACCCTTGTGTCTCATGTGATTTGGCTCTTAAAAAGGAACCGTGAAGAAAGGGAACATCAGCTGGTCACTTTTTGGCATTTCATTTTTTAAAAATTTAACTTTCATGGTTTGTTTACCCAAGAGTTTGGCATCTTGGGTAAAACCTTCTTTGTAGGTAAATGCAGACCTAGGTTTTTATAAAGCAAGCCCTTCTTTTCAAGAAAAAAACAAATTGAAAAAATGATCCCCAATGCGTACAGTCCTGTACTATCTCAGAAAAATATATCTTTCCATTGGAATGAGTGTTCTTCAGGGGTTAAATCCACCATTTTGTGTTTAATCTCACATACAGAAATAGGAAACCATTTATACTACCTCACTTGGAGTTAAAAAATTGGAGAAAGACAGCTGAAAGACTTGCTTGACCTGTTGCTACAAGAATGGGACTATGAATGCAAAGGTGTTTCAAGATCCAAAACATTCCCAGGGACCCCTTTGGAGGTGCACTACCGGACAGAGAAAGAATGAAAAGCCAATCTTTAGCAAGTGAGGGAACTGGAAAAGGCCCTTCTGTTGTTCAGCCTTGGACCTATGAGGAGATCTGTGCAAGAACTGGGCAGAAAATCCTGAAGGAGACAACCACCCTTTCAGAAGTTGAGCCATGGAACTTCAGGAACTTCCAACACCAGGTGGATGGAGGTCCCCGAGGACTTTGCAGCCAACTCCATTCTTTTTGTAGTCGATGGTTGAGATCAGAAAAGTACACAAAAGCACAGATGCTGGACCTGGTTGTTTTGGAGCAGTTCCTGGCCCTTCTGCCCCTGCAGATGGAGAGCTGGGTACGAGAGTGCGGAGCAGAGACCAGCTCCCAGGCGGTGGCCCTGGTGGAAGGCTTCCTCCTGAGCCAGGTGGTGGAACAAAAGGAGAGGATGGACTGGCAGGTGAGAAACTTTTATTTGAGAGCTCAGTATTGATTAAACTTAATAGTCTAAATCTAACTGTGTTTGAATTCTTAACCCTTGCCTACCAGTGTTCTTTGGCATTCATTATACGTGGAGATACTTCTAATTTTTGTAGGATATTGTTTTGTTATTTGTGATAGTTGTTGCTTTCCTAATTTCCAACCTCAGTGATAGACCTCCAGGGCTTTGGAGGGGTGTTCACAGAAGAAGAATACACTTTTTGATGTATGTTGTCCATTAATAATAATTCTTCTTTCCTGCCTACCTTTTCAAGTCCTTCATGATGGAGATCAGAGATCCTGAGGGAAGGTGGCATCCATCAAGTTCATCTCCAGAAATGTTTTTCAAGAGGATCTCTCAGGATGATCTAAATATGGACATGACCAGAGGTAATACAAGGCTCTCACATTCCCCAGAGAGATCTCAACTGTCTCATCTTCTGAATGTCTTCTATAGAACACCATCTCCTACGTTATGAATTATGCAGTGTAAATTCTGTCTCCCTCTCAGTTAAGAATAGAAGAAAGTTGACCCTTCTTGATGGTGGAACTGAAACAGTGGTTGAAACTCCAGTTCAAGTAAGAGGAAATTAATTTATTAGATTTGTATGCTCCCTTTCCTTCAGAAAGTCAAGCTGATGTACGTAGAGAGTCTCCTTCCATTTTTCCTTCTTATTTGGGTTGGCTTATTTTTGTGTTCCTGAGCAAGATTAAAAGTTAAAGTAGGTTCCTTTTAGGAAATCTTTTTAAAGACAACTACCTTAAATAACTGCTAATTATTTCCAATTATTATTATTACAATTGTATTTATGCTAATTACTCACTTTTCAAATAATCCTTCAGGGTGCCCATTTTTTTGGTAACTCTTTGACTTGGGTTTGTGCAAGGATGCAGAAAACTTCTAAGTATACACATTAGCAATTCTAATGATTTGATTTATGCCTGAATTTGGACGCCAAACCGTCCAGTTTTGCAAAAGCTAAAAAAGTTCCTCCTCGGGATATTTCTTCCGCTTTCTTATTTTCCAATCAGTCGATGTTTCAGGCTACAAGCAGCTTCCTTACAATGTGAGGAGGACCAGAAACAAATTCCTGGCTTGGCTCTCCCAGAACTTTCATGAAGCTGTTGAAGAGAGACAGGATTGCTCTTTCTTGGGACACCATGAGACATTTACTAAAATGCTGCAAAGAATCCCCCTTCCAAACACAGAAATGTTTTCTTCCGCAAACATAGGAAGGATTGAGGTCACTAATAGGTGGAGTTTTGGAACCCCAGATACCAATTGATTCCAGACGTCTTTGATGCTTTCTGGAGGGTGGATGGATGGAGGGATGGATGGATGATGGTAGCTCAATCGATCCAGAAGGAAACTGGTGTTACTTTCACTGATTGGCACTAAAAGTCCTGCAGATTCAGTAAAATTGCTAAAACTTTCCTGTTCTGCCCCTACTGCATGTTAGTCTGTGTGCAGCTCGACATAACAGCAAAACCATACTATCCTCCAATAAAACGGACCGTGTGCGTATATGTGAATGCTTTATTGGGAGAACAGGGTATGGTGAAACTGAAAGAAATAGGAATACATATAGTGAGAATCAAATATAAGATAAGACAGTATTCAGTTACTGCTGAACTTAACAATGAATAAATATAAGCAGTTTGAATCTCAGTCCAGCGATGCTCTGTGTGTGGGATGTGAGTTTTTCCTTGGATGACCATGTGCCATAGATTAAGATGGCTGCTTCCGCCTTCTCCAAAGGCTAAAGAAAATGGAGTCTGGCTTCCCAGCATGCATTTGGTTTGAGAGTGCAGGCCGATTGGTAAATGGGTGGAGTCAGCTCCAAATAATATACTTGGGGCCTGTTTGTCTCTCCAGCCACTAGATGGGGCAAGAGAGCAACAACAGTATAAAGTTATAAATTGTGACATGACACTTCCCAAAACATGTCTTCAATCCAAACCTTTTCTCTGTCCATTTTCTCACATAAATCCTGGAATGCTACTTAGCAGAGCCATTTACCTTGGTGCATAGCTTTGCTTGGGGAATTTATAAACAATAGGACCAGTGGTGGGATTCGGCCAGTTTGCACCACTTCGGGAGAACCGATTGTTAACTTTCTGAGCAGTTTGGTGAACTGATTGTTGGAAGAAATCATTAGGGCAGAGAACCGGTTGTTAAATTATTTGAATCCCACCACTGAATAGGACCGGTTTTTTTACAATTCCTACTGGACCTTCTGTGTACTCTCTTTCCCTGTCAGGAGGGCCTTGTCTCCTTCGAGGAGGTGGCTGTGTATTTCTCCGAGGAGGAATGGTCTGTGCTGGATCCTGACCAAAAAGCTCTGCATTGGGAAGTCATGCTGGAGAATTACAGGAACGTGGCCTCTCTTGGTAAGGGTGTTTCTTATTCTTCAGTCAGAGACTTCAGGAAGACATTTTGTAGTTGGATACCACTGGCTGTTTCTTATTTTAAAAAATCTCAAATAGATATCATCTCTGGAGAGGAAGCAGGTAGAAATATGCTATTCTCCCGCTCCTAGGAAGGAAATAGATCTGTGGCGTTCTGTTTCGATGCATCCTGTGCCGCTCCACATCTGGTGTATTTTCTATTTCTACTTAGACATGTCAGTGCCAAAGTAATTCCTTGGCTTGATGTAATGCTAAACTCCATCACAGATTTCAGTTTTTTTGGCCCAGATAATTCCATATCAGTTCCTGTGAAGCCATGATAGCGCAGTAGTTAGAATGCAGTATTGCAGGCTACTTCTGCTGACTGCCAGCTGCCTGCAGTTTGGCAGTTCAAATCCCACCAGGCTCAAGGTTGACTCAGCCTTTCATCTTTTCGAGGTCAATAAAATGAGGACCCAGATTGTTGGGGGGCAATATGCTGACTCTGTAAACCGCTTAGAAAGGGCTGTAAAGCCCTGTGAAGTGGTATAGAAGTCTAAGTGCTATTACTATGACGCCCTGTCGTTTAGGTAAGTGGGTTAACTACTTCTGTTTGATTTCTATCATGCGCCTTAGAATTAGGGGTGAAATGGTGCCTGTTTTCCATTGCAAAAATACATCTTAAACTTAATAGAAAAACACTAGTTTCCCCCCCCCACTTTCAATCATGTGATTTTTGGTAAATAAAAAACAAAATGCAAAAGGAACATAGTTTGTGTAAAGAGAAAAAGAGGAGTTTAAATATGAATTTCAAAGGAGATTTAGTTCTTGCAAGTCTCTGTTGGAATTGGCACTCTTCCAATAAATGTTAGTTTTTCTCCTAATACATCTTTGGATGCTTCCTCTGATTTTTCTTTAACTCAGAGCTGACTCTTGTTGAGATTTGAATATGTATGGATAATTATAAACGAAAAGAATGTTAGCTATTCTTAAAACTTTTATGCTTCATTAATATGAGAATTATCATTTATACCATTGTAAGCAATCAACCATGCTATATCTTAGAATTTGAAAAGTTTCAGAAGGCAATAATGATGATTTCCGACTGATTGATCTTTTTCTTTAACACCTGGCTATCATATTTATTTATTTCTCTTTCCCCTTGAAGGTGATAACGAGCAGGAACATAAAGAGTCAAGGGAATCATTTGAAGTACTCAGACATAGAGAGATAATGAAGAAGCCTGCAATTCAAATGGAATTCCAAAGGCACGAGAGAAAAAACCCCTCAAATAATTGGAATAAGGAAAGCTCATCTTCCATTGAGGCTCACATGCAGGAATTTCTTGAGGAAGGGGGAAAAATAGAGAAAAAATATATGAGGAAAGGTGTAAAACTATCCAAAGACACATTAGAGGTAAATGAACACTATCCATCCACATCCAAAGGACAAGATTATATATGCAAAGACAATGGAAAAAATTACAATTGGGCTTTCCCATTTTCTCAGGGAAATGGGTCTCTAACATCAGAAAAAAGTCTTCCCATTGGGGAGGATCCGGAGAAAGACTTGGAGAATGGAAAGAGCTTCTGTGAAAGGAAGACTTTTACTGCTCAGGGAAGGAACCACAAGGAGAAGCCATATAAATGCATGGACTGTGGGACGGGATTCCATAAAGTTGCATCCCTTGTGAGACATAAGATAATTCTCACCTGTGATGCGCCATATAAATGCATAGAGTGTGGAAAGGGCTTCAACAAAGAGAGTAATCTTACATCCCATCAAAGTATCCACATGGGGGAGAAGCCCTATAAATGCATAAAGACCTCTGGATGCAGCAGCAATCTTACTGCCCATAAAAGAATCCGCACAGGGGAGAAACTATATAAATGTAAGGAGTGTGGAAAGTGTTTCAGTGTAAATTCTTCTCTTAAATCCCATAAAAGGATCCACACAGGGGAGAAGCCATACAAATGCATGGAGTGTGGAAAGAGCTGCAACAAACACAGTGATCTTACTTCCCATAAAAGGATCCATACAGGGGAGAAGCCATTTAAATGCATGGAGTGTGGAAAGAGCTTCAGACAACCCAGAACTCTCATTATTCATAAAAGGATCCACACAGGAGAGAAACCATATAAATGCATGGAGTGTGGAAAGAGCTTCGGTGTAAACTGTTCTCTTAAATCCCATCAAAGGATCCACACAGGGGAGAAACCATACAAATGCATGGAGTGTGGAAAGAGCTTCAGCCAATCCAGTGGCCTCGTTATTCATAAAAGGATCCACACAGGGGAGAAACCATACAAATGCGTGGAATGTGGAAAGAGCTTCAGCCAACCCAGTGGCCTCATTATTCATAAAAGGATCCACACAGGGGAGAAGCCATTTAAATGCACAGAGTGTGGAAAATCTTTTAGTCAGAGCACTCACCTTACTGGCCATAAAACAATCCACACAGGAGAGAAGCCATTTAAATGCAAGGAGTGTGGAAAGGGCTTCACCTTAAACTGTTCTCTTACATACCATCAAAGGATCCATACAAGGGAGAAGCCATTTAAATGCATGGAATATGGAAAGTCTTTTAGTCAGAGCACTCGCCTTACTTCCCATAAAAGGATCCACATGGGAGAAACTATATAAATGCAGGGCATGTGGAAATACTTTTAGTCAGAGGAATCACCTTACTGGCCATCAAAGATCCACACAGGGGAGAACACTTTAGACTGTGTGTACTCTAACCTGAAACAGGCATACAGAGCAATCCCCCTCCCTTACCTGGGTACAGCCGACCATATTTCACTCCTGTTATGCCCGAAGTATGTCCCTCTCAGGAAAAGAACTCGGTCAGCCATGAAAATGGTTAAAACCTGGCCCGAGGGCGCTCTCAGTCAGCTGCAGGACTGTTATGTAAAATGTCTAACTTGTTTATATCTTGTCTGTATCTCTACCTTCTTACATTTCTGCAAGGGTTAACAATAATGCACGCCCCCTCATTTCCATAATCCTACCTGATTCCTGACTCCTCCCCTCGGGTATAAAAAGGTCTCTCTGAGGTAAATCTGTGCAGTTCCAGTTGTGTATCTAAAAGAGAGAAACGTAACGTTAAAGGTTTAATGATTAAAGAGGCCTAGGATCTATCCAGGTCTAAAATAAAAGCTTGAAAATAAAATATATTTTGATTAGTGAGTTATTGGGCTAGAACCATCAACTTTAACAAAATGGTAGCTAGAGGATGGTTGCCCATAACTCTGTAAAATGACTGAAACAAATGCTTACTCTGAAAATATAAACAGAGTAAACACAAGAGCCTTCACTAAGAAAATGGCTGCACAGCTGACAACCAAAGATGCCACTACAAGAACTACTTTAACTGAGGGTGAGCAAGACAACAATCAAACCTCGCTGCTCAGGAACGAGGACCAACAAGAAGAAAAATCACAAAGAGGTGATGAGCTAAGACTATCCATAATGAGGTTAATGGAGATGCAGGACAGCGAAGAAAGTCTTATCGCTAAACTCCAAATCCTCTTAATAAGCCGTGAAACAACTACCAAAGCATCAGCGATGATTAGAGAAATCACCACCTCAGAAAAAGATAAGCCACCTCAGTCGGACAACCCAGAAATAGCCGAATCTGTTCCCGCGCTCCCGCTCCGACGGCCATCTTGGAATGGCCAACAACCAATAGAAAGCCAATATTCAAATTTAACACAGCAAATTAACCAACATGACTACAAGCAATAAAACACCAACCGCCTACAAATCAATTACATGGCAAGATTCGAATTCACCACCCATACTACTGCCGGAACGGGACCCAAGAAAAGAAAATCATACCAACAACTCACCTATAATACGACCTCCACCAGGTTTTTCTGATCATCCAGGGACCATCATCCATGGGCCGAGACTCGCCACCGCTGCCGTCGCCGCCGCAGAGACTTCGAACCCCGATGATAGTCTTACGACCGCCTTGCCACCGCGTCTTCTGCCTGTCATCACCGGGGATCCAGCCACCCAGCGACAGATCCATGCATCCAGCGTAGAATCCAGGTGTGCAGGAGGTGATCCCAGCATTCCATTGGCAGGCCTGGGCCTAGGCCTAGGAGCAGCAGCCGCGAGCTCCTCACCCGACAGCTCCCAGCGCGAAATGGGCTTCGCGCATGCGCAGTACTCACCTGCAATGATAGAAAAAAAAAATTTTACTGACAGTTTTTTTTCCATTAGCCCAAGCATACCATTGCCCTACTGTGAATTCAGTCATATCCCAGACCATGGACAGCTACCCCCAGTAAGTAATTATCCTAATAATTCTGGAACACTGCCTATTAATTTTCCAAAATTACAATTAGATGGAGGAAACCTTTTAGAATGGAGTCAACAGTTACAAATTATTTTTATGAGAGAAAATGTACTTTTCTTAATTTCTAAACCTCCAAAAAAACCCTGGTCATTTGAAATTGATTGTATCCACCACAAAGCATTTTGTCTATTGTTAACAAGTATACCACCCACTATGTACCCTAGCATAGATAACAACCTAACTGTGTATGAAGTTATGCAAAAATTATATAGTTTATTCTACAGTCAAAGCAGAGCAACCATCACTAGAATATCCAGGGAATTTCACTCTGCAAAACTCAAGCCAGGGGTCCCCATGAGTGAACACCTATTGAAACTTAATGCCACAAGAGCAGAACTATTACAAAGGGGGGAAATAATAACTCAAGAAAACATGATGAGTATTATTATTAATTCATTAGACTCTAGCTGGGACAACTTTGTAACACAATTAGATAGCCTAAACTTAGAGCAGATATCCCTGAGCACACTCACAAATCGATTAATTGCAGAAGACAACCTGAGAAGGGACCGCCATATATCTAGAAGGGAACCCAAACCTATAAGGAGAGTTGAATTCCAAGATAGAGTAAGCAATTCACAGGAATGTTTTTCTTGCGGTTCTAGAAACCATTTAAAAAGAGATTGTCCCAGGAACTACAAAAACAAAGGATACACTGATCGTAGGGAGAGACCCGAGCACGGAAGAAGGCACATAAGGGGAAGCTCACCAGATAACAGAACTTTTAGAGAGAGAGAGCGTGGTTGGTCTCCCAGCACTAGGAGAAATTACAAGCATAGAAACAGCTCACGAGATAGATACTCTGAATCAATGTATGGTTTTAAACACGAGAACTCAAACACCAAACTAGAAACATACAAGAACATGTGGCTCCTAGACTCGGGAGCCACTGACCATACCTCACATGACCCAAGATTATTCACCTCACTCATGAAAACAAATTTTGAGATCAAAGTAGCCAACCAGAGTAAGGCTAAAGTAATAGGTAAAGGAAGTGTGCATATCCCAGGAATAGGAGAAATAGAGGGGGTATTGCATGTGCCAGATATTCCATACAACATGCTAGCAACAGTAAAACTCACACAAGACACAAACATCGAAGTGATGTTTAAGAAAGGCAAAGTATATGTATCAAATCAGGGGACAAACATTGGGGAAGTAATCATACACGACGGACTACCTTACTTTACACCCAAAGAAAACAGGGAGGGAAGCATTAACATAAACTCTGCTGATAAGGCAGAAGGAAACAAAGAAACAGAAGGAACGGACAAGTGTAATTCACCAAGTAAAAGTAAAATGTCTGTAGGCAAACCCTTGCATGACAATTGTGCTCACATTCTCCATAGAAAATTAGGGCATATTAGTTTCCCAATTGTCAAAAAAATGTTGGAATGCGCCGAGGGTCTAAAAGTAAAAAATTGTGAAAATTACTTGGAGTGTTCTTTTGCAAATGTTCTAAAATTAAGGTCAAAGCAAGACCAAAGAAATCAGAGCGAACCACTGATTCTATATTCCAACTGGTACACATGGACCTGGTAGGACCCCTGAGACCATCCATTAGGTATAGAGAAAGATTCTTCCTAACCATTGTAGATGACTACAGTCGATATGGTTATGTATACTCACTCAGACACAAGAATGAAGCATTCCAAAAGTTTAAGGAATTTTACAAAAGAATCGAATTACAACACAATACAAAAATCAAACAATTAATGACTGATCGAGGTTCAGAATTCATGGCTAAAGAATTCACGAGTTGGGTAAGAGAACGAGGCATATTACATTTTACTTCACCTTTCTCAGCTTTTCAAAATGGAGTAGCAGAACGAAAAAACGGCATACTCCAAACCATGATAAGATGTGTTCTAGAGGATGCTGGGATGGGAAAATCATTTTGGTCGGAAGCATTACATTACTCAAATTACACATTAAATAGATTATGGTCTAGTTCAATTGGCAAAACCCCTTATGAAATGATGTACAAAAGAAAACTCAACCTGGCCCACCTACACGTATTTGGCGTTCCCGCTGATGTTCATATCCCCAGACAATTAAGAAGGAAGGGAGATAAAATATCCAAAAGAATGAGAGTTATGGGGTATGAACCAGGAACAAAAGGTTTCAGATCAGAACAACAAATTTGTTGTATCAAGATCAGCTGACTTCCATGAACACTCAAATTGGTCAAGATTACACTCCAATGACATTTTTGCCAATAGAAATACACATACGCAGAAACAAGAGAATAAGCGGCTGATCACTGAAGGAAAAGAGGAAACAGAAACATACAAACCAAAACACCATGAAATAAAAGTCAAAGAATGGAAGGGAGAACACCCCACTTTGAACATAGATAAACTCACTGATGAAGAGACTGAATGCCTACACGAAACAAACAAACAAAATGACAGATCAATCAGAGAGAGTAGAAACAAAAAACCAAAAAGACTCGAGGACTACATCATGTCCATACAAACCAACAACATAACACCCAGCTCATATGAAGATATACTCAAACTTCCCCTAGAGGAGAGAGAAAAATGGAAAGAAGCAATGGAAAAGGAAATGAAGAGTCTCCGAGACCTGCAAGTATATTCACCAACACAAACACCTGAAAATAAAAAACCCATAGGGACAAAATGGGTGTACAGAATCAAGACCCTAGAAAACAACAACGTATTGTACAAAGCAAGGCTAGTGGCACAGGGCTTTGCTCAGAAGTACCCAGAGGACTATACAGATACCTATTCCCCAACTGTCAGAGCTGAAAGTGTCAAGAGCGCCCTCGTAATATCCACCATCCTAGGGTTGGAAGTATTTCAATTTGACATCCAAACTGCCTACCTTCATGCAAAACTGGACAAAGAAATTTATGTAAAAGCTCCACCAGGATACAACAAAAGAAAAGACGACACATGTGTTGTAGGAAAAATGACGGACTAGGACAAGCTCTTCAGTGCAGGAAAGAGTTTTTATTTGCGCAAAGGTTCAAACAGTCCGAAGACCCCAAAAGTTTGAACAAAGATGGATGATTTCAACCAGATATTTATACAGTATAAAGACAAAGTTATTACGAAGAGTACAACATTTCACACGTAGAAGTTACCCTTTAATCTATCTCTAGGAAAGACATAACAGCATGGTTCCCACAGGCTCAGGCTTTCAGCTCCGGAGCTCAAGACATAACAAAAGGAGATAAGAGGCTAGAAGACGCCTCAAGGGCAATAAGGAAGCAGCACCCGTTATCCAGGGATATGCATGACATTTG